CAGGCGTCCAGCCCTGGCTGCCTGGACACGGCCGCCTGTCCCCGGCCCGGGCGTCCAGCCCTGGCCCACCTGCAGCAGCATGCTGACAAACTCTTCTTCACTGAGCAGGCACAGGAACGGGTAGAGGGTGGGCTGGCCTTCCCGCGCCTGGCAGGCCATGGTGGCCTTGGTCTGCCGCAGGACCCGCAGCAGCTCCACTTCCCACTGCCCCTGCAGCGTCTTCAGGGTCTTCCGCTACGGGAGAGCAGCGTCACAACCTGAGCTAGAGCTCCCTGCCAAGATCTCCCAGGACCTGGACTGGGGTCACAGCTCGGGGTGTGATGGCCTCAGGGTGAAGCCCTTACCGCCTCAATGACCTCCTTGGTCATTACTGGGGCCTTCTCCACCGACTGGACACTGACGTTGGCACTCAGCTCCACATGGAGCTGCTGGGAGAAAAGGTCCTGCAGGGTCTCCAGGGGCAGGTGCAGTTTCGGGTAGGACTTGGGACCATTCTGCTGGGCACAGACAGGCAAGTGAGGCAGGGGCACAGGGAGACAGACCACCCTGCGCAGACAAGAAGCCCCCTCACTGCCTCTGCCAAAGCATGCCCACTCAAATAATCTGGAGGACTAGGAACTGAACACACGTGTACTCAACAGCTGGACACCTGACACGTGTACTCAACAGCTGGAACACAGACACCTGACACGTGTACTCAACAGCTGGAACACGGACACCTGACACATGTACTGACACGTGTACTCAGAACAGCCTAGCGTCCATGGACAGATGAACACACAGGATACCCTACAACACACTAGACTACTACTTAGCCATGAAGAGGAACAAGGCTCCAACAGACACCACAGTATAGAGGGACCTTGAGGATAGTCATCAGTGAGCCAGGCACAAAAGGCCGCACAGTATGAGGCTCCATGACAGAAAATGTCCAGGACAGAACCCAGAGAAAGCTCATCTGTGAAGGGACCAAACTAGCCTGTGCCCGCAGGCAAGTCTTCCCGAGGCAGAGGAACGGAAATGAGACGGTCACGGCAGCTTCATGCCTGGGGCTCACCTTGGCATAGATCTCCCTGAGCAGTGTGGACGTGTTGGCTGGACTTGGCGCCTGTGGCGGTGGACTGAAGGCAGGCTCAGCCTTGACTACTGCTCTCAGCAGCGCGGCCCGCTCCTCTCCTGTCAGGGCCAGGTCAGTGAACAGCTGCTGAGGCTGAAAGCCGTCTTCCATCATCTGCTTCAGACACCTGAGGCAACGGGGGAAGGGATGGTGTCGGCTGAGCGCTCAAGGGGCTAGCTCGTGCCCGAGGACAGGGCCACCCAGCACATTCCTGACTCACTTCTGGATGATGTGGACATCCTGGTCCCTGCGTCCCATGCACAGGAGTGCGGCAGCATAGGACCACAGGTCGGGGGAAAGGCCAGCATCCTTCAGCATGATGAACACATACACCATCTCCTTGAAGGAGCCCTGGGGGAAGGAGTGAGGCAGTGAGGACCAACAACGGCACCTGGACCTCCTTCTCTAAGATCCCTAGAAACCTGCTCTACATCAGTGATTTAGGAGGGGACCTAGCAATAGGTAGACCACAGGGTGTCCTTCTGAGGAACACTGCATTATTGGAGATTGAACTTAGGGCTCTTGCAGGCCAGGTGTGTGCTCTAGCATTGAGCTCCAGCTCCAGGACCTACCAATCTGTGTTTTATTGCTGGCTTTTTTAAAAAAAATTAATGATTTATTTATTCTTGTTTTATGTACATTGGTGTTTTGCTTGCATGTACATCTGTGTGAGGGGGTCAGATCCCTGGAGCTGAGTTACAGACACCTGTGAGCTGCCATGTGGCTGCTGGGAATTAAACCCAGGTCCTCTGCAAGAGCAGCCAGTGCTCTTACCACTGAGCCATCTCTCCAGCCCGATGCTGGCTTACTTTTTGCTGTTGTTTGTTTGTTTGCTGGCTGGCTGGCCTGGAACTATGCAGATCAGGCTGGCCAAATTCAGAGCCTCTGCCTCCCATCTGCCTTATGTTCCTTTTCTCATTTTCATTTTGTTTTGTTTTTCTCTTTGAAATAAGTTCTTTCAGAGCAGGAGAGACGGCTCAGCGGTTAAGAACAGTGCTCTGGGCTGGAGAGAAGGCTCAGGAGTCAGGAGCACTGGCTGCTCTTGCAGAGGACCCGGGTTCAATCCCCAGCACCCACATGGCAGCTCATATCTGTCTGTAACTCAAGTTGCAGGGCTTCTAACACCCTCACACAGATATACATGCAGGCCAAACATGGATGTACATAAAATAAAAATAAACCACACACACACACACAAAGGGTCGGGTGTACTGGCACACGCCTTTAATCTCAGCACTAGGGAGAGAGAGGCGGTGGATCTCTATGAGTTCAAGGCCAGCCTGGTCCATACAGGGAGTTCCAGGACAGTCAGAACTACACAGAAAAACCCTGTCTTGGGAAAAAAGAAAGAAAGAGAGAGAGAGAAAGAGAGAGAGAGAGAGAGAGAGAGAGAGAGAGAGAAAGAAAGAAAGAAAGAAAAAAAGGTCTCGCTGTGTTTCTCAGGCTCATTTTGAACTCCTAGACCCTGCCAAGGTGCTGGGGAAGAAACAGAACTCAGAGCACAAGTTTCCACCTCAGGAATTTATGAAAAAGAGCAAGTTCCCGACCCTGGAGCTCCGAATGTCCCAAGGTTCAGGGCCACTGGGACAGGAGGCTCAGAAGCCCCACACAGAATTACACTTCAGGCCTTCTCAGTTTCTTATTTTCAGTGGGGAAGGAGAACAGGGTTTTTACTTTGCAGACCAGGCTGGCCTTGAACTCAGAGATCTGCCTGCCTCTGCCTCTGAGTGCTCCTCTGTTTCTTTTTGTTGTTGTTGGTTTTTAAGGGAAGAGTTTTCTACCTGAAAAGCCCAAGAACTTGAACCAGGCTCACCTTTCGCGCCCAGCCGAGCATCACGGTGTTATACATGTCCAAGGTAAGCAGCTGCTGCCTCTCACACTTGCTGTGCTGAGTGACCAGCACGTGGTGGGCAAGGGGCATGTTGTCAGTGCAGGCACAGCACTCAAAGAAAGCCAGAAACTTCTGCTGGAGGAGCAAGAAGTTTGTCTCCACCACCGTGGCCTTCGTCCTGGCCGGGGTGCAGGAACTCAGCTTCAGCAGGGCGGACTGCAGGGCCCAGGTCAGCCGCTGTTCCTCCTCCTCTGAGCTCTTGGGTGCCCCCTTCTTGCTCTGCTGCAGGTAGCTGGCCAGCTTCTTGCTCCAGACCCGGGGCTCTGTGTGCAGTGTGTGGCTCTGCTTCTGCTGGTCAAGGAATCCCTCCTGGCTCTTCTGCTTCACCCGCTTCTCAGCCTCCAGCTTCTGGGCCCAGCGGCTGCTGCGGCCCTTCAGGGGCCGGTCCATTGGCACCTTCTTCACCATCACCTGGGACGTGCTCTCCGCCTGCAGCTGCCGCACCCGAGCCTCCAGCACTGCAAAGAGCAGAGGAAGTTTTGGGACCATCTTCTGCACCGCAGGATGCTCTGAGTCTAGCCCCAGGGTCACCCCAAACTTCCTCGTGGTGATAATTATGCCTCGCCTCTGCCTCCAAACCTCTCGTCACCTCCTGCTCCCCACAGCCTGCTGCTTTCCCTCCTCCACTCCTCCCAGTCTTGAGGGTTTCCACCTCAGGGCCTTCGCACATGCTGGAACCTGCTTTTTCTGATTCAGGCACATACTTGATACACTTGGGGAGCGACATAGCAAATAGCCCTAGCTCTGTGCCCCAAGTAAGTTGACCAAATGTTCACATTCTCTCCAAAAGGCAATTAATGGCACCATACAGGGGTCCCTGACACACAGCTTTCAGAGGTGACCAAAAGGTCAAAGCCTGGCCAGGAACACACCACACAGGGGAAGCCATAGTTAGTGGTGAGTGCAGAAACAGAGCAGGCTCATCCCCAGGCCCTCAATACAAGTGTTCCTAGGACTAGCTGACTGCCATTTCCAGAACTCCAGTCCCTGGTTCACAGCCCAAGGTCAGCATGAGTCAGGGGCCTGGCTGGGAGTGGATAGGAGAGGACCCAAGTTCTGGGTGAGCTCCCGTCTCAACCCACATGCTCTTGGCCCTCAGTATACTTGACAAGGCAGAGGGTGCACCTATGTGAGGCCTCCTGACAAATGAAGGGGTATGGACTGCACCTGCAGGGACCCCAGAGACAAGATGGTACTAAGACCCTGGGGCAGGAGGAGAGACGTCAGCGGGACTGATCCCAGGGAGTGCTTGTGTTCACGACAGAAAGAGACCTCATGGGAAAAGACACACAGTATGCACTAAGTCTTTGATACCCTCCTCTGGTCAGATGACAGATCCCATCTTAAGTTTGCTGGGAGCGTTGAGACGGGAATCAACAGTTGCTGACGAAGGAACAGGACCATGGCTGTGCACTAGCTTAACATGTGTGTGTGTCCGTCCTTCAACCTCTACCTTCTGTGGCTACCATGCAGACATGACATCGGATCAGGTGGGAAACCTGGCCTGGCCTGGGACATCCTGTCCACTAGACTTGGTTGCCTAACCCTTAAAACCGGGTTCCAAAGCTGAGTGGTGTTGCTCACCTTTAATCCCAGCACTCGGGAGACAGAGGCAAGAGGATCTCTGTGAGTTCAGGATCAGCCTGGTCTACAGAGCAAGTTCCAGGACAGCCAGAGCTACACAGAGAAACCTTGTCTCGAAAAACAAACAAACAAATTGGATTCCCACTTCACCTTGACTGTACAGGACACAAACTGGAGACTCTACCTTAGCAGAAGACCATTCCAACAAATGGACCGCGGGCATTTATTCAGGTTTAATTTGGGCCCTCAACTGTCTTCCAAGTCCCAGGCAGAAATCTAGGACCCAGGAAATAAAATAACAACAGCTCCCAGAATCAGCCCAGCACACAAGAGGACTCAACAGGCCACGTATAGGACATTCGGACCACACCACTTGCTGTGGACTCTGGGCCACATTTGACATACTGTCTTGGTGTGCTCAGATACGGTGAGGAGCCATTCCCTCAAGGCCTCCACTGTAAGTAAGGAGCCGAGCGTGTGAACCCTGCACAGGGGTACAGGGGTATGCAAGGGCTTGGGATGCGACTCACCCTCCAGCAGCTCGGCATGACCCCACTCCTTCTGGGCATCTCGCTCACGGGGACTGGCAGCAGAGCTCCTTCTTGCGCTGCAGAGGCCACTGAGGGTCCCTGAAACACAGAGGGTGAGACCGCACATTAACCACCCCAGCACTCCGGAGGCTGAGGTAGGAGGGTCTCCAGCTGCAGTCCAGCCTAAGCCACAACGGCAGTCAGGCATGGAGGTACAGGTTTGCGATCTCAACACTCAGGAGACTGAAGCAGTAGGTCATGAATTCGAGTCCAACATCCAGCATGAGCCACGTGGAAGAACCATGTCTCAAAAAGTAACCCCACACCACTCAAAATAAATCAAGACCCAGGAAAATGTAAGCTCAAGGGCAGAGCAGGCCAAAGCTACGAGAGTCGAGGTGCAGGATCCAGCAAGGACCCATAACTAAAAGTAGCGATAAAGGTCAAAGTCACAACCCGTAAGTCCCCAACGATGGGTTAGAGGGCTACAAAAAGCGAGCAAGAGTCAAAAGGCAATCCTGCGGATTCTCTTCAAGAGTGTTCCCAGAGACTCCTCCATAGGTCAAAGGGCAAAGGCTGGAGGTGACCGGACTTCAAGGAGGCGAAAAATCATAGCTTTGGGTCCGACACTGCTTTACCTTCGTCCGAGGTCGGGCGGCGGCGCCCAGAGGAGCTCAACGCCCTGCCGAGCCCAGCGGCGCCCCGGGTCCAGCGTAGCGCAGACATGCCGCCCGCTGCCCGCAGTACGCACGCGCGCGCAAAGCCAGCCGGGAGTTGTAGTTCCGCGAGTGCCGAAAGCGGCTCAGCGTGGGCCCCTCCTGAGGTGCCGAAGTAGAACTACAACTCCCAAGAGTAAGCGCGCCGTGTGGTGGCAAGAGAGCACGCGCAGAAATACTCTTCTGATTGGATCTTTTCATAATTGGATCTTTTTTTCATAATCCAAGTTTCCTCTTTGATTTGGTTTTTTCTTCCTCTTTTTTTTTTTTAAAAAAAATTATCTATTTATATTTTTATTTTGGTTTTTCGAAACAGGGTTTCTCTGTGTAGATCTGGCTGTCCTGGAACTCACTCTGTAGACCTGGCTGACCTCAAAGTCGGAGATCCACCTACCTCTGCCTCCACAGTGCGCCGCCACCGTTTATCTTTTTACTTCCGTATTATTTGATTGTTTGGTTTCTGCTTTATCTGTTCTTGTTTCTGTTTTATATATGTGTGTATCTACATATTACAGAATATATATAGTATGTATGTATATATATGTGTGTGTGTGTGTATATATATATATATATATATATATATATATATATAAAATCATGACTTCCTGGAATTCGTTATATTTGGGTCTTGAACTCAAAGAGATCCCCAGTGATGGAATTATAGCATACACAACCATGCACAATCTCCTATTTTTTTCTTTGTTTCCGTGTATGAGTGTGTGTATGCAAATGAAATCCACAGCCTTAAAGATGAAAAAGAAGGGTAAATAGTAGCACCTCCCTGTTCACTCATTGGTTCATTCATTCACTCAGTCCTGTGGAGCTCTGACTAGAGGCTGACCTTGAACTCCTGACTCTGGGTGATTTATCTGGTGTTGGCGCTGCTCTCTGCACACGAGGCGAGCCCTCTGCCCTCTGAACCACAGCTGACCCCATTCCCTTGACCCCCCCCCCCCGGATATATTTTCTGATGCACCACGGGTTTGCTTCAAACATCCTAGGTAATCAAAGATGACCTTGAATATCTGGTCCTCCTGCCTCTAATTTAGGATTTAGGAGTGTTGGGGTGACAGGTATGCACCATCACGTCCCAGCATTTTATAGATAAGGTCTTGCTAAATTTTCCAGGCTGGTCTGGAAGTAATTCTAAAGCACAATATCCTCCTGAGATGACAGGAGTCCTGGGCTGCCGAGAACAGCTAATTCCCCCTTCTCACTCTCTACTACTTGTTCAGAGCTCAGCAGGGAGAGAAAGACATAGTGAGGAGGTTTTAATCCCAGCCCTCTGGAGGTGGAGGCAGGAGGATTAAAATTCAAAGCAATAGCCTGGGGCACATAAAACTCTGTCTCAATGAGACAGACAGACAGACAGACAGACAGACAGACACACACACACACACACACACACCAAGAGAGGGAAAGGAAGAGAAAGAGGGGGGTGGTTATACATAGCACTTGGGGGGCAGAAGCAGGCAGACTTCTTGAGTTTGAGTCATCCTAGACTACAGAGCAAATTCCAGGGCAGCCAGGGCTACACAGAAAAATCTTGTCTTGAAATGACAAAAGAAAGAAAAAAGTCTCTTTGGTGCTGGAGAGACGGATCAATGGCTGGAACACTGACTGCTCTTCCAGGGGACTCACCTTCATTTCCCAGCACCCACATGGTAGCTCACAACTGACTGTAACTCCACTTTCAGGGAACCTGACATCATTGCACAGAGATTGGTGCGGGAGAATTGTCTGTATTCTGTCAATCATGTTTTAAGTAAACGCTGATTGGCCAGGTAGGAGGTGTAGGCGGGGAAACCAGTCAGGAAGTGGAAATGATGCAAAGAGAGCAGGAGAATTCTGGGGAGGAGGAAGTTGATTTCTCCCACTCCTGCCCAGATCACCGAAGCAGCAGGATGTGATCTGCCCCACTGAAAAAGGTACTGAGCCACATGGCTAAAATAGATCAGAAAAAAGGGTTAATCAAGATGTGAGAGTTAGGGCTGGAGAGATGGCTCAGCGGTTAAGAGCACTGGCTGCTCTTCCAGAGGTCCTGAGTTCAATTCCCAGCAACCACATGGTGGCTCACAACCATCTGTAATGAGATCTGGCGCCCTCCTCTGGCATGTGGGCATACATGGAGGCAGAATGTTGTATATATAATAAATAAATAAACCTAAAAAAAAAAAAAAGAATGAGCTAACAACTTGGCTATAGCTTTAAAAAAAGAAAAAAAAAAAAGATGTGAGAGTTAGCCAGTAAGAGGCTAGACCTAATGGGCCAATCAGCTTTATAACTTATAGAGGTCTCAGTGTGATTTTTATCTGGAACTAAACAGCTGAGGGGCCGGGCAGGACAGAAACACAAACAAGTAAGCCTCCATCATGTTACAGAGATAAATACAGGTAAAAACCAATGCACATAAAAAATAAATTAATTAATTATTCAGAGAAAGGGAGAGGAACAGGGAATGATTCTTCTTCTCAGCCTCTACGCCTCAGTTGTGAAGGTTCAGAGACATTCATCATGGGACTCAAATGTGCAGAGAACGGATCTCAGACAGATATGTGAGAAAGCCCAGGTCTCATATTTCCCCTTATCCTAGCCTCGGTTTACCTCCACAGACAGGAACAGAGCAAGAGGAGTGAGCTAAACCCGTACTTGGGAGGCAGAAGAGGCAGATCTATGAGCTCAAGGGCAGCCACAGTGGCTAGACAGAGAAACCCTATCTCAAAGGGAAATGAGTGAGCTAGACACAGAAGTGACAATCCCAGCTTCTCCATCCATTTGGTTGTAGCCACCAGGTAATCAACCCGCTTAGGTGTAGGCATGCAGTCAAATCTAGAAGCATGCCCACTTAAAGCCCACAGAGGATCATCCTGAGCTAGGACCAGATTTCATGTGACAAGAGGGACGAAAGGGAGGAATGCCAGCCAATGCGAAGGCCCTAAGGCATGGGCAGAATGTCTGAGCCCCTGGAGAGGCCTCCAGGGTAGGGACTCAACAGATTTCCTCTGCTTAAACTGAAGTTGCCACCTGCGCTCAAGTTGAGAATGAAACCCATGGCCCCTCCCCTTCTACATGTTCCAGGGTACCCAAGCATGCCTGGCCTTGCTAATACCACAAGTTAACAATAATTTTAGCACTGAGTATTGCCCTCCTGATTGTAGCTCAGCTCATTCTCCATGGTACCCAGAGCATGGTTACCTCAACCCTGACTTCTTTCTGGGGTCACCTTCCTGGTCCCCAGGGATGAAGCAGCAGGACCTGTAACCCCAAGACGCCCACAGCTACTCACATCTTTGTGGGCTGGAAGACTCAGGGACTCAGATTCTTCCCCGTCCCTTATTTTTTTTTTTAAATTTATTTGTTTATTATGAATACAACATTCTGCCTCCATGTATACCTGCACGCCAGAAGAGGGTGCCAGATATCATTACAGATGGTTGTAAGCCACCATGTGGTTGCTGGGAATTGAACTCAGGACCTCTGGAAGAGCAGCCCTTCCCCGTCCCTTATTATTCAGGTTCCTCTCTGATTTGCTGAAGCACCAGACTGTCCACATCAGAGTTTTCACAGTTTGTTCTTAGTCAGCAGATTCTAGAGAAGGATGCTCCAGCTGAGCCACACCCAAGTCCCTCACCGGGGAGATTCTAGGCGGGGCTCCACCCTGACCACGCCCCCAGCCCCTCACTGGGGATTCTAGGCGGGGCTCCACCCTGACCACGACCCTCACTGAGGAATTCTGGGCAAGGGCTCTGAGTCACAGCCTTAGTCCCCACCCCACCGCCATCCCATGTTCACCTCACCCCCCCCACTGTGATTTATGGTCAGTGATATAGGTTGTCCTGTCTCTTTCCACTATAGTCAACCGTCAACGTGTTAATGGGGAGGAGAGTTATTATTCTGAACTTGAGGTCAAGTTTTCTTATGAAACCTAAGAATTTTGAAGTGTGGCCTGATCTCAGACATTCAAGAAGATGGAGAGTTTGAGGATAGCCTCGCGGCTTATTGAGATCTTATGTTAATAAAGAAACTAAAGACATGTTTGGGGCTGTGACTCATAGCTAGAGCCTCTGCCTAGAATTCTCCAGTGAGGGGCTGGGGGCGTGGTCAGGGGTCTGGGCGTGGTCAGGGGCTGGGGGCGTGGTCTTAGGGATAGAGCCTAGCATGTGGAAAAGACCTGGGTTCAATCCCTAGTACCCGCCAAGAAAAGAGTCCTACTAGTTTTCTGCCAAGAGTATCGGCTCCTGCCTAGTACTCAGAGAACTCAGCAAGCAGGGCTCAAGGCTAACCCGAGTGAACCTCTAGAGTGAGATTCCGCCCTGACCCTCTGGCCCCACAGCCTCTGTGTTTGAGTCGTGGCACGTGCACCATCCCCTCTGGGGCAGATGAAAGGTAATCCATCGAAAAACCAAGAAAGAGCCGGGCGATGGTGGCACAGACTTTAAGCCCCAGCACTCGCGAGGCGGAGACAGGCGGATTTGTGAGTTCCAGGCCAGCCTGGTTTGGAGTGAGCTCCAGGGCGGCCAGCGCCACAGAGACTCTCTGTTTTGGGAAAAAGAAAAGAGAAGAAAGAAGGACAGACTGCGAGGGGTGTGTTCCACCATCCCAGCACTGAGGCTGAAGGAGAAGCATTTTGAGTTAAAAGCCAGACTGAAGAGGGCTGGAAAGATGGCTCACTGCTTGCTCTTCCAAAGGTCCTGAGTTCAATTCCCAGCAACCACATGGTGGCTCACAGCAGGCATACATACAGGCAGAACACTGTATACATAATAAATTATTAATAATAATTTGATTGATCAATCATTAATTAGTAATTAATAAAGTTATGAATTATCAACCATTATTAAATTAATTGATCATTAAAATTAATGATTGATTAATTTAGTATGTATTATGCATAATAAATTAATAAATCTTTTTAAAAAGCCAGACTGAGACAACAAACAAAATTAATTAAATACAGTTACCATATGATCCAGAGATTCCCCCTCCTAAGTATGTGACCAAAAGAAATAAAGACCAACATCCACACCAAAACTTAAAATACTCACAGTACCTGGAATGCAGAGATAATCCAGTCTCAACAGGCAGGCGACACACAGTATGGGCCATCACTGTCTTGGAATGTTACTCACCCATGAACAGGAGTGAGGTTCCCACACATGACACAGCCTGGAAGGTATTCAGTGAGAGAACCAGACCCAAAAGGCCACACAGTGTGGGTCTCCATGACAGGAAATGGCCAGAACAGGAGAACCCAGAGACAGGAAATAGACTTGTGAGTACTGGAAGCCAGTAAAGTCAGGTGACTCTTGTGGGGATGGCAGAACATTCCAGAGTTTGACAGGTGAGAGCTGCCCCACACTCATGCACTAATAACTCAGTTTATACTTTAAATGAGTGATTTATGTGGTATGCAAATTACATCTCAATGAGCTATTCTTAAATTAAACCAAGTCAGACACCTCCCAGGCGTGTGTCTCAGTCTCTCACACAGGGAACCTAAAAATGTCCAGGGGCGTGTCGTCCAGGAGCTGCGAGGTGTTCATCTCAGAAGGGGAGCTTAGAATTTCAGTCACAGAACAAAAGTCACACGTGGCATTTGGTGCTGTGTGCGCCATTGCTTGCCCAGCATCGTCTAGACTTTCGCAGTGTACCTCCCAGACAGACACCCCTCGCCAGCCTGCCTCACAGAGAAAGCACACAGGCTTGGGTGATGAGGAAGAGGTCACGGGGCCTTGTGCTATATGAGAGCCTCTGATGAGCCCAGACATGGGACACGCTGGTCCATCTTATCCTGGGCACCACCCCACAGTGTGACCTGCCCAGGTTCAGGAAGAGACGGGATCTACTGAGCCACCAAGAAGGAATCCTGGCATCCTGAAGGACTGGTTGTCTTTCCAGAGGACTCCCCAAAAGGCAAACTTGTCAGTGAACCTCACCCTGGTGCTATTTAAAGGTGCTGCCTGGGGCCAGGGGGAGGGAACTGGCATTGAGGTTCAAGGTTCCCCAACACCAGTGACTCTAGGCTGCATCTGAAGGTCACTGCACCCACTGTCAGAGACACTGGCTACTGGGCAGAAGGTGGGTGAGTGACCGTGGATGCCAAGGGTGTCTCCTGGAAATGGGTGTGGCTGCAATGAGGAGCAGGTGGGAGGATGGACACACCGCCCTAATTCTGCTACCCAGACGCTGTCCTCTTGTTCTCAATGCCCCTAAGCTGGTGGTGACAGACCTGTCTGTCATGCTGCCCTCCATTCATCCCATCCCTTCCCTACCCATTCTTCCATGGCACAGCCCCTCCAAACGGGTAGCCTCAGAATCTCAAGGATGTCCTGTGCATGCTCGGCCCAGCTGGCCAGATTGACACCTTCTGAAATCTTCTGGTTTACTTCGTTGTCACGTGCCCATCTTTTATACGGTCTGTCTCCTAGCACTGTCTTTTGTCTGTTTCTTTGTGATTCCTTTCTCCTATCTCTGGTTTCTGTTTCTCTTCATATCCAGTCTCTGTCTTCAATTTCTGTTCCTCTGCGAGCTTGTTCTTGTGTCTCCCTCTCCACTCCTGCATCTGCACCCCGGATTGATAGCGACCCGCTTGCAGGACACACACTCCAGTGTGTATATGTGTGTGTTGCCCAGGTCGGTGTCCCCGCCCCCCCACGCCTATTGGACAACCGCGCACCTAGCCCCGCCCCTGACCGTGCAGCTGGGCCACCGCGCGCGGGCGGGCACAGGTCGGGATGCGCCGCCGCCTCTGGCTGGGCCTGGTCTGGCTGCTGCTGGCTCGGGCACCGGGTGCCCCGGGCGGGTACCCGCATCTGGAGGGCGACGTACGCTGGCGACGCCTCTTCTCCTCCACCCACTTCTTCCTGCGAGTGGACCCCGGTGGCCGGGTGGAGGGGACGCGCTGGCGGCATGGCCAGGACAGTGAGTGCTGGGGCGGCAGGGCGAGATGGGCACACCTCCTGTGGGCTCCGGACAAGGCTGAGGCCAGCGCCTGGGCTACGTACAGGGTCAAACTGAGACTGCCCATAGGAGCTGTGCATGCCCAGTGGGACCATGAGACAGGAATCCCGCTCCTGGGATTGCGACCTGTCTGAACTGGGGCTCGCTCTGTTCTCAGACACCCCTATTTGACAAATGAGGTAAGATGGATGCCCTGATCTCAAGGTCCTGCACAAGAAATGGAGCTGGGTCCAGACGGATCCCTGCCTTGCATATGAAAGGCCTTCGATAAGTGTTTGTGGCATATATGTAGGAAGAGGAAAGGCCACGGGTGAGGAGAAAGCCGGCGGTGATGGGGAGGCCACAGCTAGCTCCCTGGTGCTAACGTCTGGTAGGAGTTCCTGGGAGGGTTTGAGCTCAGCCCTGGGCAGGTGACAGGGCACTGCCCATCCCAGTGGCTTTCATCTGGGTTCCAAGGCCCTCATTAGGCCACACAGGACGAGGGCTATGACAGGGGACTGGCTGGGCAGGTCCATCCGTGGCAGCACAGTCAGGTGGGGTGGCCCCAGGCTGCGGAAGAGGCCCAGTAGAGTGACCTGGGCCCTTTAGTACTTCTGAGATTTAGACTCTATCTACAGGATAGGGATGGTAGGTGACAGGCTTGTGAGTTACTATGTGATGCTGGCCAAGAGGATACAATGCTAACCAAGATGGCCCGTTGTGATGGGTCTTCCCTGGGGTGGAGCAAATATACTCATTCCCTAAGGGACAGGGACAGAGTGATGTGGCTCATGTCCCCAGCATGGGCTCTCAAGCTTCTGGAGAGGGCCTAGAGGCCTGTGGTTGGGCTCACCTCCCTGAGCGGGTTCCTGAAGGGAAGCTGCAGCTCAGAAAGGTAGGGCTTGCCAGGACCATTCACAGGACTGAACAGACAGGGAAGTCCAAAGCTGGTTCTTTCAGTTCTGGCCCTCAGTTTCTCTTCTGGAAGTGGGTACAGTTGGCACCCTGACCCAGGGCTGTGTAGGCTCTATGAAGCAGAGGGCAGACGGCTGGTGTCCAAGCATTAAAAGATGGCCTGGCTCCCGCCCGAGGTCTCTTCTGGTTAGCACCTGGTGGTTGTGGGCAGACTCCTTCATCCAGGGAAGTTCCATGTTTGTTGTGGAATCCTGGCCTCCAGGGTCCACGCCTGCTGGGGTTGGAGACAGTGGTGATGGGACTAGGGAAGCCCGGTGGGGCTACTGCCTGACTGTTCCACCCCATCTCCCAGGCATTGTCGAGATCCGCTCCGTCCACGTGGGCACCGTGGTGATCAAGGCTGTGTACTCAGGCTTCTACGTGGCCATGGATCGCAGAGGCCGCCTCTACGGGTCGGTGAGTGATGGGCAGTACCCAGCGGGTGGTGATGGTTGGTGGGGCAGCCAGCCAGCCTCACATGCCCGCACTGTAGCGGGTCTACTCTGTGGACTGTAGGTTCCGAGAACGCATCGAGGAGAACGGCTACAACACATATGCCTCACGACGCTGGCGGCACCACGGCCGCCCTATGTTCCTGGCACTGGACGGCCAGGGCATTCCCCGGCAAGGTGGACAGACACGGCGGCACCAACTGTCCACACACTTCCTGCCGGTGCTGGTGTCGTCTTGAAGGGCTTGCTGGTTAAGGAAGCATGCACAGCAGAGGGGGCTGGAAGATCTGGAGTTGGTCAGCAGGGGTCCAGGCCAGAGATCCTGGACCTACATGGGTGTCTGCTAGCTGCCAGGCATGGAGATATGGCAGGGTCCCTATAGGGCAGGCCAACTCTCAGGGGATACACAAAATTGGCAGTTTCCACACATCTAGTCTGGAGGTGAGGACACTGCTGAGCTCAGGCTGACAAGTGCTCTGGGCACAGCATGGAGACTTGGAGGTGGGGACACACCAGGTGGCTAGGGGCCAGAGAGGGTGGACACCTATTGTCCCATGTGGTCAGAGTAGGGGACCGGAGCCAAGAGCATTTCTATTTCTTGCTCTTCCAGGGGGACTAAGCTTAGTTCTCACTCACAATCACCTGTATGCCCGCCCCACTCCAGAGGATCCGACTCTTTTCTGACCTCTGCAGGTACCTGCACTCATGTGCACATACCCTGCTTCCCATACACCTAAGATCACACACACATACACTTTTTTTTTTTTTTTGAGACAGAGTCTCTACATATCCCTGGCCGTCCTGGAACTTGCTCTGTAGACCAGGCTGGCCTCAAACTCACAGAGATCTGCCTGCCTCTGCAGCAATTAAAGGCATGCGCCACTATGCAGGGCTGACATGGGACCTCTGGACACTAGATGGGTTCACTGCCTGAGTTCCCTCAAGTCCCTGGGAGAGACTGAGGACACCAGTGTCAGCTTCTGTCCCAGAACCATCAACAATAAATGTCTTAAGCCTTAGTGAGCATGTTTGCTCGTCAGAAGCAGGATGCACGCACCATGTTAACAGGAATGGCCAAGGGTACAGTGCCAGCATCTCCAGGGAATGATAGTCTGCATGGTACCATGGATCCTTTTTGCTACCAGGCCGTAAGGGTGGGATGTGGCTGGCAGCTTTGTCATTTAAGCACCAACCTGAGAAAGCCAAGACTTGTGTCCCAGAGAACGATCAGCCGGCTGACGCCCCCAGCAGGCTGACACCCCGCAGTGCCAGGGCTCTTCACGGACTCTCAGGCGCAGAGCTGGGGACCTGCTCACCCCCAGACGCAGGTGAGCTCATCGATGCTTCGTCCAGGAAAGCAGTGTGTGAACAAGACTGAGGCTCCCTGGTCACAGGCCCTACCACATGGTCACCTACACACAGGGCTTGCAACAGACGGCTTCCCTCCAAGCGGCCCTGAAGGCAGGAGTTCAAAATGCCTTCTGCTCAGCACTGCCAAGGCTTGGGTACCTTCTGGCCTTTGCTAGAAGCACAAACCCACCCTGTGAGCTGCCCCACCGGGAGGTCATGGATACCCTGGCTGAAGGAAGACGCCAAGCCATGGGCTCTGCTTTTTGAGGAGGTGTATTTTAAATAGCTTTTCAGATAACACACATTTCCCTTTAAAAAAAAAAAAGTCTGCTGAAGCAGTTTGTTCCTGGGTCTGCTGGTCACCCTTGTGGTCCCGAGGTCGGTGCTGGCCGGTGCTGTGCCCGGCCTCCCAGGGCATGTGGTGGGCTGGACCTGGCGACAGTCCTGCCGACTCTCCACAGATCATGCATGGCCGCACGTGGCTCAAATGTCCATTTATTTCAAAGCAGTAATAATTTAAAATCATAAAAACCCTTCTGCCGTTGAACATTTGGAGGGTGAGGTTAAAGACGGACTGAAGGCGCCTGCTGGGGACATGGGGCCCACGTGCGTGCCTCCAAATAGGAGCGGCCACAGCGAAGTCCATGCCTGTCGCAGCCTGGGGCCCGCCAGGTGCTGCTGGCCACCACGGGGCAGCACCTCTAGTCCATGGTCGTGGCGGTGCTAGGGCACCTGGGGCGGGCAGGATGACCGAGCCCCGGGGGTGGGTGGCCAGGTGGGACTCAGGAGTTGCTTGTGGCGTTCTCGTTGCTGGGCGAGCTGGACGAGGACGAGGACGAGGAGGACGAGAAGCCCACCCCAGTCAGGCCCGGGGGATTGGTGGCCGTGTTCTGTCCAGTGAGGCTCTTGCGGCAGACTGGGCAGCTGTCGTGCTTGAGAGGACAGAGAAGGAAGGAGTTACGAGAAGAAGGAGCAGGGCCTGGGGTCAGAGCCAAGGTTAACATCAGGTTCATGACCAGTCTGGCTCACAATCAAGAGTCTGTGTTAGGGACAAAGTCAGGGTCCAGGTAAGGTGGCAGATAGGCACACAACTCAGGGTCACCACTGAAGCCAACACTTACACATACTCTACCCGGGAATTGTTTCTGGGTCGGGGCAGAGCAAAGCCAGGGCTAGCATGAGGTCAGCCTTAAGGTCACAGCGGGAGGCAGGCACGGTAAAGGCTATGGCTAGCGTTAGGGCTGCAGACAGGATGGGCACAGGGTTCTGATTGACAGGCAAGCAGACTAGGGTTAAGGTCAGAGCTGTGTCTGGTTTTGGGGGCCACCTCAGCGTGTAGGGCAGTCACCTGCTCTAGCCAGGGCACAATGCAGCTGTCGTGGAACAGGTGGTTGCAGGGCAACTGCCGCACAATCTCACCCAACGCGTAGTCGTCTTTGCACACGGGGCACTCCAGCCCTGAGCCTGCAGAGGAAGCAGGTCAGTGAGAGGCACGCTGTGGCAGGGGAGGAACCCAGGAACTCTGGCCACCATCCTGTGAGCATACCCACGTGTTCCTCTGTGACGGGGACCGTGGGGAGGGCCTGAATCTTCTCCTTGTCTGCAGGTGGGGGGCCCGTGTTCTCAAATTGATTGAGGAGCTGAAAGACAAGAAGGAGCAGTGACCTGAGGGGGGCAGGGTTCCCAGCAGGGCGGTGGGGATCGAGGAGTCTCCACCTGCCCAGCTCTGCAAGGCTGCAAACCAGGACACACCAGGCCCTTAAACCTTAGAGCTGTCTGAGGTGTACAGCTTTAGTACAGGCCACTGTCCTTCCTAGGACAGCAGGCATCCTTCAAGAGGAGGGGAGAAAGGGACCAGTCACTGAGCTGACATCAGAGGGCGGGATGCAGGGGCCTCTGGTACTACAGAGCCTGCACCCATCTGCCTCACCAGGCTGGCCGGCCGACTTCTGGCCCCCCACAGATTCTGAGTGTGGCCGGTTGTACCTGTGTGATGATGGTGTCCAGGCCGTTGGCCCCCCAGGCGTAGTCCATTGGGTTCGAGTGCAGGACGCCCCTGGGGGGGAGAGGCCGGGTCAGGGGGCGCAGGGTGTGAGGGGCCAGGCACCCGTCCCCTACTCACCAGGGACCAAGGCCCAGGCTGGGTACAGCGGCCGGGGAGATGATACCATTCACAAGTTGCTGGATGATCCTGTGGGAGAGATGGTGTCACAAGCGCCTACAACGGCCAGCACCAGCAGCACCTCACAAGATAGAGCAGCTAGTCTTGGACTGCGTGATCTTTCTGTCTCCACCTCTCGAGTACTGGATGACAGGTATGCACCCTCTTACCCAAGGGGAGGGAGCCAATGGTGCAAACAGCTTTACAGGGACTCCTGATAGCCAGCAGCCATGGGCATGGCCCCAAGGACCTGGACCCCAGCCTACTTCTCTCCCACAGGGGACTGGGGATGCACTACTCAGGTCCTGTGGGTGACCCAGACTCCCTGGGTCCTGTCTAAGGAGAGAGGTGGCCAGGTGACTTCCTTACAGAAGCCCGGAGACTCAGGGCAGTGGAGTGTGCTTGCCTCCCATGTTACTAGGCCCCACTGTGGTCGTGAGGCCCTCACCAGGTGTATCCCGTCTACTCACCCTTCCAGTGTGGGGACACCTTCATGCCGGCCAGTGGCCCGCCGGGCAGTAAGGCGAGCACGGGGCTGCCGGGCTCCGTACCGATGCCGAGACTGGTGCTCTCTCTCCCGTCGGCTCTCAGGATCCCTGCCATCATCAGCCTGAGCCCCAGGAGGAAACGTGGGAATCTCAAAGCTATCATCGAAGATGCCGAAAGCAAACTGGCTGTACCCCTGAGGCAGCGTAAACAGGTGCTGGTCCACACTCTGTGGGGAAGAGGCAGTGAGGCCGCCACATACCGTGACAAAGGGAGAAGGTATGGGAAACAACCGTCAGGGCTAGGAAGAGCACCATCAAGTATGGGGCAGGGGAGGACCTGGGGACTAGGGACCCTGACTCACCTCAAATGGCTGCCGGTTCTGGTCGGTGGGGGCTGTGGAGGGGGCAGAGCTGTTTTCTGTGTTCCTGGGGAGAGAGAGCCTGTCAACTGCAGCTGAAGTCCCTCTTAGGTCCTCAGGTCAGAGAATGCCAAGGTTACAGTAGCCCCCCCAGCCCTGATCACTACCTGGTCTCTTCTGGAAGCTCCTCAATGAAGCCAGACTCGCACCTTGGGCAGATGTAATCCTGTGGGAGGCAGGGTCAGTATGAATACCCATCACAAGCCACAGATGGCAGTTATATCTAGCCTGCGCCGAGGGACATAGGGCTACAGGGACAGCTGCCCCGCCTACAGCCTTAACAACTCTAGCACGCTGCTAGGTCTTCCCAAGTCTGGACTCCTCCAATGACCTGCTATCCTGGTGAATAGCGGACACAGTGTACACTCCACAACGACAGGGCCTACAGTTCCTTCTTCAGACACACAAGGGTGGACACGGACAGCTAGGGACTCGTGTAGGCACAGCAGGAGGAAAAGCCTTCCTGAGACCAACTGCAAGCTGCATTTGTGCTTCTGGTGAGAAAACTCATGGACCCAGAGGCTGAGTCACCCTTGGGGACACTACCACACACGGGAAGTCCCAACAAGTGTAGAGCGTGCTTCCCACAAGGCCACGGCCGGTGAATGCTAAGGCGGTGGTGCAGGCAGGCAGCCAAGACCACGGGCCTCGGTTGACAGAACCTAGACCAGCATGGCTACGGGCCTGACCACACTGGGCTTCACACAGCACGTCCCACACTATGCCCCTGCCCCAGCCAAAAGCAGCTTGCAAGCTGTTGGACAAGAGTAGAGCGGGCAGGGAGGGTGATACATGAGGCTGGCTTACCACCCTGTAGACACACTCCACAGACGGATGCACCGCCATGAACGTGTGAAGGGGCAATGCCAGCCAGCACGACTCAGCTGACCTGAGACAGTCAGCAGACCCAGGGCAGCCTCATTAGAGCTGGGTGGTCACACTATCGGAGGGGCCAAAGTCTGACCACCACCACCTCTCCGGACACAGTACAACATCAGGTCTGGTGGCCTCTCCTCAGCTGCCATGCCCAGCCACCCCTCACTGGCTCAGAGGAGGGACACAGTTAGGGTGGGCTTATATCCACTGCCAATGTCTGTCTCTCAGAAAGGTACTTGCTCACCCCTCACAGCAGCTGGTGCCAAGGGGGACCCAGCAGAAGTCATTCTGCCTTGCCTGGTTCTATTACTCTGCTCTTGATGGTCCCAATGACAACGCGCCCAGAGAAGATCCCCAATAGAGACCTGAGGCTACAGGATATCCATACAACATGGGGTGCCCTATGCTCAGGTGACTCCTGTTATAACATATTCTGAAGGACCACTCTGAGTGCCACAGGGAAGGCAAGGGACAGGTTCCAATCATCTCTGGCTAGTATCACTGGCCTGCAGACTGTTCTTCAGAACTGATAGGGCGTGAGGCACGGGAGTCACAGGCCCAGTTCCCTGCCCATGGCTCCTAGTGTAGAAGCATCACCCTTGGGCACATGCATGTCCCACATCCCCAGAAGACGTACAAGCCCATGCAGCACCTTACCCAGCGCACGGCCATGCCTTCTCCTACCACACCCACCGAGCCTGGGCCACTGTCTGTTGGAGTGGTTCTGCCCAGAACCCAGGCCAGGCTCCACGTCATGCTAGGTATTGTGTTCACACATGCAGCAGGCACTGGTCCCTCGTCTACTTCCTTTGACCCATGAGGCTGTGAGCAGGTAAAATGAGGAGCCAGGCTGCAGGTGTCTGTGTCTGCACACGGAAAGCCCATGTCTGCACCTGGACGTCACATGGCCTCCACCAACACACCCTGAAGAGGATCAAGTCTGGGCACGCACTGCCCACAGCCTCTGGCTCTAGCCAACTCATCTGCTCCCTACTGATACATTCCCAACCAAGCAAACTACCCGTCCAGCACCCTGAAGCTCTGCCACTGCCTGGCAGTCACAGCCCCACGGGCACCGACAGACAAACTGCCTGTCAGAGCAGCAGTTCTCAATCTGTGAGTCGGGATAACCCCTGGGAGCTGAGCGGCCCTTTCTCAGGGCACATCAGACACTGAGTGTCAGATGTTTGCATCACAATTCCTAACAATAGCAAACAGTTATAAGGTAGCAATAAAAATAATCTTACGGTTGGGGTTACTACACACGGTTGGGGTTACTACACACGAGGAACTGAATTAAAAGGTCACAGCATCAGGAAGGCTGAGAGCCTCTGCGCTGGAGACCAGGATGCTGCTCACTTGTCTGGAGTGGGCAGCACATTGGACAGCTGATGACACAGGGCAGCCCAGGATCTGTGAAGGTGCCACCGCTGGAAGTGGGATCTACAGCATCCAACTCAGGTGTCTAGAGCAGTAGCTGTCACTACAACTGTGAACACGGCAGGTCCTCTCCTGGGTGGCCTACCCTGGAATGTAGACCTGGCCCCAGCTCCCTTTAGCATGCTACCTGCTCATACAAAAATCACCCATGCCGCCGTCTAAGCACTTGTCACGCCCTGGCGGCCTACAAACCCTGTAAGAACAAAGACCATGCTAGATCACTGGGACTTACAGGAGGGCCCTTGCCAGGCACGGTGGCATTAGAGGTCAGGGTCCTCCGTGTCCAAAGCCACAGGGTCAGCACCTGGAGCTGTGCTGGCCCCAGTAAGAAGCAGCGACAGCAAGGTGTGCGCCTGGGTCAAGCCATCTCCTAGCAGAGAGACCCAAGACCCACGCTCTGTTCCCAGAATTCACAAGGATGGTGAGGAGGCTGCACAGCCCCCAGTCCAGGCAGAGCTGGGGGGACAGGGATGAAGCTCAGCAGAGAAGCAGAAATCACAATCAGGGAGATGCCCACAACGTAAGTCTGCAGGGCACTGCAGACACCACTCTCCCTTCAGCCTGCTTTGCTTTGTTGTTGTTTTGCTTTGTTTTCTTTTTTCTAGACAGGGTTTCCTGGTGTTGCCCTAGCTGTCCTGGAATCCATTATGTAGACCAGGCTGGCCTAAACTCCACTTGCCCCTCCTTAGTGCTAGGATTGAAAGCATGAGCCACGTAGCCTGGTCAAACTGAATTCTGAAGAAAGTCACTGTCACTACCCACAGGGGCAGTGTGCAGGGAGACACGAAGAAACTGTACCAACTCTCACTTCACCCGGACTGCCCATGCATGATCCAGATACCACTCCATCACCTTCACAATGGCAGTGTGACTTACACCAGACCAGGTACTGCTTCAAAGGGCCTACCCAAGCTTCCTTTTCTCAAAAAGCAGGAGCTGACTCCACGCCTGGCCTGGGAAGGCGGTAGCAGGCTTCAATACTGGGTGATGAACCCTCCAGAGGGCGAGCCTCAAACCTAGGTATGAGACAAGGGATGATGGGGGTGGGGGATGTTGGGAGGATGCTGCCCTGGGAACCTAAGAGCTACCCACCAGGGTTTGCACAGACAGACCTGGGTAAAGGGGAGATCTGGTTGATACCAGACACAAAAGTAGTCAATCACTCTCAACAGGTTTGCAAAAACCCTGGGAGGCACGGCCAAAACTACCCTGAACTGGATGCAGGAGGCCCCAAGATACCTAAGCAGGGTCCTCGGGGTACACATGCCCAAAGCCACCTTGACGAACCAGGAGGCTTGGAGATACTCTGGTGGGGTCCTCGGGATACATCTACCCAAAGCCACCAGGTAACAGCAGGAAGCTTGGGGACACCCGGGTAGGGCTCTGGGGGTGCAGCTGACCAAAGCCACATTGAAGCAGTAGCACAAGGCCTGTTACAACCAGGTGGGGTGTCGGTGCGAACAGACCAGACCCCCCCAGACTGCGGCGTCGGATTTGTAGCTTCTATGGGCGCGCAGCGCGACCTCGAGCGCTGCCCCGGGCCTCGCAGC